AGAAAGAGAGTCGTGACGGGTATAAGAAGTCAGGAGTAAATCACAACAATTAGAGCAAAAGGTAGTAAAGTAAAAGGGGTAAAAGAAAGAGAGGAGACACTCTTTGGCATCTGGAAGTTTCTTGGAGCAAAGATTTGAGTAAGTAAGTTAACGGTAAGGTAATCAGTAAGGTAACGAGGTAACGAGAGAGAGGTAAAGAAATAGAAGAGAGCTAATACAACCATTCGCTCACTAGCACGTCTTCTGTTGGCACCTAGGAATGTATGTGTGTGAAGAGGAGAACTTGAGTACGTAAAGAGATAAAGAAAAAGAACTGATTGAGTTGAAGTTGAACAGAAAATGAGTAAGGGGAAGAAGATATGATTGTTTTAGGTTTAGGCGAGGTTTGGGGGGTCGTAGCTAGTTTATCTGAGCCTCATTTTTCAAGTGGCCCCTGGCTGGCGTGGCAAGGTGTGCGTCAGCAGCACCGGCCGGGGGTCGACAAGCACGCCCATCATCAAAATCTCTTGCGAGCAGCCCTTGCTGACCAGTGCCCAGACAAAGGGCCGATTGGCGTGAAATTGCTTCGGCTGTACGGCGCGATTGAAACCATTGAGGCCGTAGGCGAGGCCGCCGCCCAGCGAGTTCAGCGTCGGCTCAGAGCGAGGGTAGTAGGAGGCAGCGGAAGGGGCGGAAGAGGTGCCTCCAAGGTACATCGAAGAAACTGGGAGGGCGTTGGTGGTGGTCACTGTGGAGAAGAGCGTCCCCGCAGAGGCAGATGTAGTCAGAAGTGGGGCGCTGGCGTTGGGCACCGGGTCGGTGCCCTGTTCGTTCACCTCGATGACTACCTTCTGGATGATCTTGGAGACGATGACACGCGGGGGCATGGTGGCCGTAGGGATGATCCGGTCGAGGTCAGCGCGGTTTCGGTCAAAAAGGTCGCGGATGCCCAGGTTGGTCAGCGGACCGATCAGGTCGGGCAGCGTCAGCTCTAGGCGGAAGCGGGGCAGACTGAGGTTGACGATGGTAGGTGCTAGGCTGGCGAGGACCCGCTCGAAGGCCCTCGTCGTGAGGATGTTTTTGACGTAAGCGGTGATGGAGGCAAAGCCGTCGTCAGGGAGAAGGAGGAGGAGGCTAACATTGCCGCCGCAGGTGCGGTCGTAGTCGAGGGCCACCGCCTTGGTGCGCAGCTCGGCGTCGTAGTAGTAGGGACACTTGCGGTGATTGTACAGAAAGGGAATGGTGACTGCGAAAGAGTTGGGATTAGTTTTTCTCTCAAAAAAAATTTACTACATTTTAGACTCTTACTCTGAACGATGCTGTTCGCCGTAGAGCTGAGCTTAAACTGACTGTTCTTGACGTAAAAAGGGACGTCGTTGCGATGCCGCCTCGTCCACCGCCCCCTAAAAAACATCGCACTGACCAGAATAAGATCGGTAAACTGGCCAATGTCCTCTGGTTTGACCACGTCCCGCACCGAGCCGCCCGTGGCGATGTACACGTCGGAGTTTATCGTCTGACAGGCGGCGTACTGGTTGCAGAAGTTCAGCTCTTTGGCGGTGGCTTCAAAGTGCGCTCGCAGGATGGAGATGAAGTGCGGGTTCAGTTTAGGACATCTAAAGGATAAGGTAAGTTTTTAGCACAAATTTTCTTAAAAATTTTTTACCTGGCGTCACTGTACAACGCCACAGCCACCTGCAGGTAGGCGGCATTCCGGACGCAGACAGCATTGTGCATCGCCGCAAAGGAGTCGACGATCTTGTCGGCCAATGCCTGCGGCTCGTAGAACTCCCGTGCCAGGTAGTGACTGTAGAGGACGCGGACGATCTGGTCGCGCGACTCACCGCTGAGGCCGGCCAGCAGTGTAGTCAACGTCGCCTGCAGCGAGTAGGGCGAGAAGGCGAGGTTCGAGGAACTGCTGAAGAGCTCCCAGAGAAGGTCGAGGATGAACTCCCGGCGGAAGATGGACGGTTCGTAGTGCGGACCGAGGGCGGTGGTCATCTTGCCGCTCTTCCCTCCCTGGTACCGCCGGTAGCGGGAGGGACTGAGGGGCAGCGGTCGCATGGGNGCGGCTCGTAGAACTCCCGTGCCAGGTAGTGACTGTAGAGGACGCGGACGATCTGGTCGCGCGACTCACCGCTGAGGCCGGCCAGCAGTGTAGTCAACGTCGCCTGCAGCGAGTAGGGCGAGAAGGCGAGGTTCGAGGAACTGCTGAAGAGCTCCCAGAGAAGGTCGAGGATGAACTCTCGGCGGAAGATGGACGGCTCGAAGTGCGGACCGAGGGCGGTGGTCATCTTGCCGCTCTTCCCACCCTGGTACCGCCGGTAGCGGGAGGGACTGAGGGGCAGCGGTCGCATGGGCAGCGTCGGCAGAAGGCGTGGTCGTCGAAGGCCGCCGTAGTAAACTCCTCCAGGCTGGAGAAACTGATTGTTTTGGTAGTAGCCGCCGTAGCCGCCGAGGCCGCCAACGCCGCCCAGCATGAACTGGTTGCCGCCCAGCATCTGAGCATTGGCCAGCTGCAGATTTTGCTGCTGCTGTTGCTGCTGAGCAGTGGTGGTGCTAGGCTGAAAGAGGGCATTGTACAGATTGGAGATCATGATCAAGAGGAAGAGGAAGAAAAGATGAACGATTCTTCTCCTTCTCCTCTTTTGCCAGCCTCTTTCTCTAAGGCACTCTACTGGGGCTGGGGATAATTGTCGAGTAGATAATCGATGATGATGAAAATAGTAGTGGTGATAATGGTGAAATGATGTTCCCGAGCAAAAATGTTCCCAGTGAGGGTGATGATCTTCCTGCACCGCTGACGCAATCCGTTTCTCCCGCAGCGCAATTCACTGCACNGGTGGTGATAATGATGAAATGATGTTCCCGAGCAAAGATGTTCCCAGTGAGGGTGATGATCTTCCTGCACCGCTGACGCAATCCGCTTCTCCCGCAGCGCAATTCACTGCACTTCACTGCACTCTGACTGCTGATCACAGTGGTTGCTGGTTCTTTCTAGAGACAATTCTACAGCGGGAGAGAGTGAGAGATACAGAGAGCGAGATAGCCAATCAAGAATATACAAGCGCGCGCTGTGAGAGAGAAGCGCCGTACAAGAACAGTGCGCACGAAAAGAGAATTGTTATTGTCGCAAAGAGGCTGCTGCTGCAGACCACTACGCAGAGTCACATTGACGGGTCGGGAGAGGGAAAGGAAGGGAAAAGGGAGAGGGAGAAGTGTATCTGCTTGAACTGAACTTGCTGAAAAGTCTTCTATATAGTCAGTGCTGATCCGGGATTCTCGGGTTCCAGTGCAGTGTGTCTAGTGCGTGTGTGTTTATGTTTAGCCTCTGTGCCTCTGCTGTGTGGTGGACATGCTCTCCCCACTGAATATTGGCAAGATGTCAGTGTCAGCCGATGTACGGCAGAGCTGCTGTTCCACTTACGGGGTTGACACATTACACACATTCAGGTTGTTGTTAGCAGGTCAGGTGAGCAGCAGCACCACTGTAATTGTCTGCAGATGTGTGTGGCCTTCACAGGAAATGGAAGAACAAAAGAGAGCATTGCAAACAGTGCTGATGATTGCTAATAGGCCGCTAAATTAGACAAATTATGGCGGCGACGGCAGTACATATAAAAAGTATCATTTGTCTCCTTCTAATTGAAGGCATTCAATGTCGACAATGGTAATGAATGAACTTGTTTCTAAACGGTGCTTTAGCAATTCAAGAATGATGGTGGCCCTCCTGGTGCTCTTTGCTTCTTCTTTTTCCAGTAAGTTGACCTTCTTTTTATTGGCGGCGACGGTGGTCTCTTTTGGGAATGGCACTTGCAAGAAGAGAGNTTTCCTAAGCGGTGCTTTAGCAATTCAAGAATGATGGTGGCCCTCCTGGTGCTCTTTGCTTTTTCTTTTTCCAGTAAGTTGACCTTCTTTTTATTGGCGGCGACGGTGGTCTCTTTTGGGAATGGCACTTGCAAGAAGAGAGTGCACTTTTCTTACTCGATTTGAATTATTCAAACTCACGCTCTCTATGAGCGTCCGTTGCGTGCACAGACGCGAGGGCGCTGGTGCACCTCGATGGGGCAATGAGAAAAAGAACAAAAACACTGACAGGTTGTCAGAACAGAAGCATCGTCGTCGTCGACTTGAAGCCGGTTCTTTTCTTGTTTTATCCCTAACCCAGATTTACCTAATGTAAGTGTTCCTCTCTTGATCAGATCAACTTCAACTCTCTGTAACCATCAGTATGTCATGCTAAGCTTTACTATTGTGCACTTGCTTTGACGAAATCAGTGTTTACTTAAAATTGTGCTTCGATGATTGCTTCGCAGTAGTTGCCTAGATTACCACCGCCGTTTCAGGTGTTCACTGTTGCTGTCATTTCATGGACCGCTTTTGGAAGGCTGTTCTGGTCACTAGTAAGTGAACAAGGCTGTGCTTTGCATGGGTCTTCAGAGTTTTCATTCCTTTCTGCTTATTGCACTTCTACTGCTAATCTTATCACTCCATCGCTTATGGCGCAAGTCCACTTATGCCAGCTCTGTGCGCTTCTCAATTGATGGTGATCAAAGTCTTTGGTGGTGGTAGTGAGGGTGATGATGGTGCTGACTAGAAGTATAGTGACCCGATTATCGAGGCCGATTACCACCAAGTTTGCCACTCAAGCATCTTTTGTTTCAGCCAAGTGGTCGCCATAAAAGTCGCCTACTCGGCAGCTGCTCTGGAAAGGAACACATTTCTAACCTCTGTATATCTTTACGGCCCGGCAACAGCAGCAGGGTTTCCATCATCTCTGAGTAGCGTCTACTGCTACCTCTTTTCCTGAGCTTTTTTATTGTCCCATCATTAGCGCGAGCCGTACACTACTAAACGATATTATGGCCCGTTTACTAATGACACTAACCGTTCTCTATGCAGCTATCACCGCAATCGCCGCCAGTGTTCTCGTTGGCGTGTACCATCAACAGAATCCCCAGCTGTCATTCGTCGGTCAGCAGCTAAGTGACGCCTGGAACTTCTTTTCTTCCTTTTCTTCAATGGATCCCAATTCAGTGGAGGGCCTGGAGGCGGAGCTGAAGGCGAATCCCTTTGATCCAAACAGCTTTGCTCGTCCTGATCAGGTAAGTTAAAGCCTTTCTATTTCATCAATTTCATCAATTTCATCCTTTTCTTTTCTTCGCAGGCTAAAGTCACTCACCTTCATCTCAAGCTTGCAGTCGACTTTACCAAGCACATTCTCGCCGGTCATGTTCTTCTCGACGTTGACCGAGTGGCCGCCAACGCCTCCAAGCTCCTGCTCGACACTGTCGATCTGAAGATTTTCGACATTAAGCTAGTCTCCGGCGGAAAGACCACTTCGCTGAACTTCACCCACCACAAGTCGGTGCCAGAGTTTGGTGCCAAGCTGGAGGTGGACATCTCGAAAGCGACGGAAAAGAAAATTCAGATTGAGGTGCTCTACGAGACGGTGCCCAGCGCTCGAGCGCTTCAGTGGCTCGCACCGGAGCAGACCGACGGAAAGAAGTACCCGTTTGTGTTCTCGCAGAACGAGGCCATCAACGCCCGAAGCATGGTGCCCTGCCAGGATACGCCCTCGGTAAAGTGCACGTATACTGCAGAGGTGAGTTTGAGACAATCGTGTTTTAACAAAAAAATTTTAACACTTTTTGTTACTCTAGATCGAAGCACCCCAGTATGCTACGGTGCTAATGAGCGCCAAGATCAGCAAGCCACCAACTGCTGCTGCGGGAAAAGCCGACCACCATGTGCACCACTTCAACCAGTCGGTTCCCATTCCCAGCTACCTGATTGCTCTGGTCGCCGGCGACCTCGTTTCTCAGAAGCTCGGACCGCGCTCGCACGTCTGGTCGGAGCGGGGGCTCATCAACCGCTCCGCCTGGGAGTTTGAGCAGGTGGACATGATCCTGAAGACGGCCGAATCGATCGCCGGCCCGTACGTCTTTGAGGTGTACGACCTGCTCATTCTCCCGCCCAGCTTTCCCTTTGGCGGCATGGAGAACCCCTGTCTGACCTTTGTCACGCCGACGCTGCTCGCCGGCGATCGATCGCTCGTTTACGGTAAGTTCTTTGGACTGTAATTACCTAGTTTGGCAACTTTTAATTATCACCGCTTTTGTTTTTATTAATTCCTCCTGCAGTTGTGGCGCACGAGATAGCGCACTCCTGGACCGGTAACCTGGTGACGAACGCCAACTTTGAGCACTTCTGGCTGAATGAAGGCTTCACCACCTTTCTGGAGCGCAAGATTGCCGGCAAGATTGGCCAGGGCGAGCCGACGCGCCACTTTAACGCTCTCGAGGGCCTGAAGGACCTGAAGGAGACGATCAAGGCGATGGGCGAGAAGAACCAGCTGACGCGCCTGGTGACCGACCTGCGCGGCGTCAACCCTGATGACGCCTTCTCCGTGGTGCCCTATGAAAAGGGGCACAGTTTTCTCTTTTACCTGGAGCAGCTGCTCGGCGGGCCGACCGTCTTTGAGCCATTTTTGCGTGCCTACATTCAGCACTACAAGTACCAGTCGATCAAGACGGAGGACTTTAAGCGCTTCCTCGTGGAGTACTTCAGCAAGACGGAGGAGGGCAAGAAGAAGGTGGCGGCCATCAACTGGGACGGCTGGCTGAACACGCCCGGGCTGCCGCTGGTGATGCCGCAGTACGACACTTCGCTGCTCAACGTCAGCGTCCACCTCGCCGAGAAGTGGGTGCAGGTGCCCGAGGAGCAGATCAAGACGGGAAAGTATGTTTTGTGCTATCATTTTGTTGTGATTTGTACTCACTTTTCTTTTAAATTTCAGTGGCCCCTTCAACTTTGAGGAGTTTCACGCCCTGACCTCCGGCCAGAAGAAGCTCTTTCTGATTGAGCTGGACGAGCGAACGGAGGGCAAGCGGTTGTCGGCGACCAAGCTGGAGCGCCTCACCGCCGTGTACAAGCTTCGAGAGGAGAAGAACGCCGAGGTGAGCTGCGTCTGGATCGTCCTTGGCCTGAAGAGCCACTGGAAGGGCGTCCTCGACGAGGCGAAGCTCTTTGTGGGCGAAATTGGTCGCATGAAGTTTATCCGGCCAATCTACCGGGCGATGTATCAGTGGCCGGAGACGAAGCAGCTGGCGGTGGATACCTTTCTCGCCAACAAGGGCCACATGATGTCGCTGTCCATTGCCGCCATCAAGGCGGAGTTGCACCTGAAGTAAGAAAATTCGGAATTTATATCTGAACCCAAACTGTGAAGCATTTCCTAAAAACCTGTGACAAAAAACGCCTGTGAATTTGCGCTTTTATTTTGTACTCTTTCATACTGTTGTTTAAACGCTGCTCAAATCAAAAGCTGCTCAAATAAAAACCATTTTCT